GCCGTGCGATGGCACGCTGCACGGCCCCGCGCTGTGGTGGGAGGCGTCAGGAAGGAAGTCTGCAAGCGTGTGTGTGTCTGTGTGTCTGTCTGTGTGCACGGGCAAGAGCTGGAGCTGTTTCCGGAGCAGGCTGGCTCACGGCTGGGCTGTTAAACCACCGTTGCTCCGTGCGCCAGAGCATCGTGGCACTGCAGAAGCGCATCCAGGGATGCAGCTGCTGCTCCGCAGACCTGCAGTCTTGTCTGGACGTGAAATCCCGGGGTCGATGGAGGCCAGGACAGGGTCAAGCAGAAAGCCTTGCAGGGAAGGAGAGCGATGCATGCACTGTGGATAAGCTCTTGCAAAGTTCGTGCTGGGTGGAGTTTCCCTCTTGTTTCTAATTAGTGCTGAAGTGGAGGGGTCGTGTGATGATCATGGCAGCTGGGCAGGAGAGGAGGAGATTCTTGGGTGGCTGGAATAACAATTAGTGTCCATACTTGAAATGTTCTTAAAAACATCCTCCAAGGCCAGAACACTGTTGTGCATTGGGGGGAGCTGGCTGTGGGAAGGGCCCAGCTGCAGCGGCCTCACGAGGAGCCTGTGGTCCTGTGCACACGCTGTGCGGCCCGGAGCGGAGTGCCACCCTGCCTGCGCGCTGGGTCCTCGCCTCTCGGGGTGCTCCGCTGCAGCACGGCATCCCGGATGGTGGCTTTGCTTGGAAACCGGCAGCCCGGCTGGGATGAGTCCCCTCTGCTGCTGCCCTCCCGTGCCTGGAGGAGGGGGTCCTGCAGGGCGCACTGCCGGTGGGATGCGGTTAGGACACCTGCACCGGCGCACTGTCACCAGGATGCTTTGTGCTTGCAGGACAGCTTCAGCCACAGTGGTGCGGGCAGCTGCTGGGCTCCCCAGGATGGGTGCAGTCCTTGTGGGTGCAGGCATCATGTCCTTTTGGGAAACCGGGCGTGCAGGTCGATGTGTGGGAGGGTTTGGTTCCCCGCCTGGAGGGGTTTGCGTGCCGCGAGGGGCTGGTGCTGCTGCCTTGGCGGGGGGGGAGGGTGCGCAGGCTGTGTTCCCGAGTTCCGGGCAGGTCCTGGCAGCGTGGGCAGCTCCTAGTGCCGAGGTTGGCATCCCTGTGACCTCACCTGGAGGAACGAGTGTGACCTGCCAGATCTGGGGAGTCCTCTGGGCCCCATCTCTTTTTGCTGCTGGTCTGGGGACTCTGACCATAGTCTGACTTTTGCCTGATTTCAGCATTTGTACCAAAGCTTGTGGCAGGCGAGTCTGGAGCCGCTTCCTCTGGGACAGGCTGTTGCGCCAGTCGCTTGTGTGTGATGGAAGTGTGCCACGTTCGGACTGTCGTCCCCCGGGTTTTAAACATCCCAGTTGCTCCTGTCACCCTGATGCTTCACCCTTCCAGGAGGCTTCATTTCCTAAAAGAGCAGCCGCCTTTCCGCTTCCCTCAGTTTCTCCTTCTGTCTCAGCCGTGCGAATGCCACCGCGGTGCAGCGGTGCCGGCGCCTCGGGGCAAGTGGCCGATGTGCAGGCGTGCTGTGTCTGGCTGCCAGCACTGACTGTGAGCCAGGACCACCAGCTCCGCCGGGACCATGTTTTCGCTGGGCTCGGGGGCAGGCTGTGGGCAGGAGGGGTGCATGCAGCAGGGGAGGGTGCTGAGGAGGAGAGCATCGCTCGTCACCGCGCTCGCAGATGTCTGCGATAAACAAATCAACATTGTGGCTTTTCTTCCTCGTTAGGTATTTTCGTGGCCACCTGTGTTTTGGCATGAAGCTTGGCTAGCAGGAGAATGAACTTACCGGGCGAAGGTAAGTACATATGGACGGCAGCAGTGGAGCAGTTGATTCCCTTGTCATGCTGGGCGCGGGCTGGTGAATATTTCATATATCTGTCCACACTGCCGCTGCCCCTGTTAATATTGTATTGCCTTCACAAGCTGGCAAGAAACGGTTTAAGCCTTGTTTATACTAATGTCCGATCAGCCTGCAAAATAAGGAAGACTTTCTGCCTCTAGGACTTCTTGTGTCCTTGTTTGTCACTGCTCTGCTGTCACTTCCCCACCGGCTCCCATCCTCCCCCATGCTCTCTGCTCTCGGTACCAGCTTTGCCCGGATCGCAGTCGGGACGGAGCCCCTGGCTGTGGACCACAGCCCGTCCCTATCCTGCAGTGTCCGAGCTGCGCTTGGGGGCTTCAGCCCGGGGTCGGCTGCTGGCACTTTGATTTCTGCTCCCCATCACCAGCTGCAGTGGTTTTCAGTCCCTGCAGTGATGTGCCAGAGAAGCCCCTGAGAGCTCTTTAAAGCTCTCGCAGCCAGCTTGGGTGTCTGAAGGACTGGAAGGTCGTCTCTGATGAGACTACCATGCCGCCTGATTATGCCATGATATTTCCCACCAGTTATGTGTTGTGGAGGAAATTATCCATCCCTGTTCTCTCATAGACTAAGTAGCCCCATAAATTTTGGGGAATTCTTAGCGGAGGATTGCACAAGGGAGTTGAAAATAGGCCGGGATTGTTGGCGGCTGCTCAGCAGGCTGCTGCCGAGCACGCTCATGGATGCTTGTTCAGCGCACCCGGGCGCGCTGGGGTAATCCTGCCGGAGGAGTCCCTTCTGCTTCAGGGCTGCCGGTGCCCGTGGCCGCCGTGCGGGAGGCAGAGCGGGGCTGTTCATCTGGCGGGAGCCGTGGCGTGCCGCAGCAGCGGGGAGAGTCCAGAGCACAGCAGGAAGGGAGAAGCCATGCTCCCCGGCGGCAGCCCAAGGCCCCTGCCTCTGCCTTGTGCCGCAGCAGCGGGGAGAGTCCAGAGCACAGCAGGAAGGGAGAAGCCATGCTCCCCGTCGGCAGCCGAAGGCACCTGCCTCTGCCTTTCCTGCTGCCCCACAGCGGAGCGGGAGCTTCCCCGTGCTGGTGGTATCAGATGGGCAGCGTTGGGGCCGTGTGTCTGCCCTGGCTGGGGCAGCAGGATGATCCCCAGGGACACAGGACGTGGCACTTTGTCCCACCGGCTGCTGCCAGAGCAGGGCTGGTACCGCAGGCTCCCAAATGAGTGGGTCCCTTTGTTCCCCTCTGGCGGCACTCGGACTGGAGCTGCTGGGAGCATCTCGGTGGGAAACCGCTCACTGTAAGCCGTTTTTGCGAAGAACAGAGCACTTCTGTGCTCCCAGGCTCCTTTTTAAACTGCAGATCTTTCCTGCTAATTAGCCCGTCTTGGTCTGCATAGCCATAATTATTCCAGTTGGCCTTAAATCCTGAGTGCTCCAGCTACAATGAATTGAAATGGGTCTTGTGGCATTTGCAATTACTTTTAGGATGAACATTTGAATATATTTACATGACTGAAACAGATCAAGATAGCAGGAAGGAGCAGATGAGCACTTGTCTTTTTAATGGGTCAGAGTCTTGGTACTGCAAAAATGCCAGAGCCGTTTTTTTTTCTCTCTGATTTGCATCTAAACAAATGGACCAGCATTTGTCTTTCTGACTTTCATGTAGTATATGGGCATGCATTTGAAACTGTTTTACCTTGGTATGTTAACCAAGCTGTTGTCCAGGGTGTTAACCATGGTGCTAAAAGAGCCACAAAAATTATTTTGGTGGTGATGTTACTTTGCTGCTGGGATGGGAAAACGCATACCTGGGTGGGCAGAGAGGCACTGCTGCTTGGTGTCGTGGGAACCCGATGGCTTGCGCAGAAGAGGACAAAAGCAGAGTGGGTGGATGGTGAGCAGCCGACCGCCTCACCAGTCCGGGTAGGTGGAGCGGGATGTCAGGGGTTGGAAGGGGAGCGGAGCGAGCCCTCGAGCGCCCGGACGGTTCTGGGGCTGCCTGTGCTGGCAGGTAGGGCAGGGGCAGGGAGGCTGCCTGGCTCTGGGGCGGCTCTCCAGCCCACTCCCCACCGCAAAGGGCCTTTGCACGGGCCACTGCTAAACGTGCTCTTTCACGGAGAGAATCGAGCGGAGACAGTGTTTTTCTGAAGCAGTTCTTCGGGTTGTCAGCAAAACAAAACGCATGGATGTCTCGTTCCTTCCACTCCATTCAGCTCCTGCCCCAGCCACATAATCACAAAGAACTTGGAATCCCTGGGTGAGCTCAGGGGAGGATTGCAAAACCTGCGCTCACGAACGGAGCAGAAGGGGGGAGGGTGTGGGAAGCCGTGCCAGCGTTCACAGGAGTCCCTCCGGGTAGGCAGCAGAGCAGGGGACTTGCAGAAACTGCAGGCTTCCTGCTGGATGTCCTACCGAGACGCAGAAAACCCAAAAAGCCTTAACGCCAGATGAAGTCTTCAAGGACTTTTATGTAAGGTCAGTCTCCGGAGGAAGGGCATTTAACGCTGACTCTGTATGTTGCTGTTAGCCTTCAGATTGTTTAATTTCTCAGTATGTGTCATTCTAATGGGTAACTGCTTCTCCTGACTCAGACCCTTAAAATTTGCATGAGATACTTTTGCTTTTCTCTTATTTCAGCTTTCCCCCCTCCCCTGTGACAGCACATTGAAACTAAAGAACATGCAGGAAGGAGGCAGGTGGCTGAGAGAAGTGAGAAGACAGTGCTGTGCTGAGCTCAGTTTTGGGAGGAGGGAGAGCTGCAGGGAGGGTTTGGACTTCATCTGGGATGAAACAGACTCTCTGTAAAGGTTTTGTTACGGACTGACTGGGTACGTGTGGCCCCTCTGAAACGTTCCTGGAGCTTTGCTTCAGCTGTAGACCTGTGATTCTGGGTGCACAAACAGTCCAGAAATAATCTCGTTGGGTGTGCTCTGAGGCAGACTTTAATTACCTCCTGGGTAGAAGGCACCTAGCCTGGAAGTTGCTGATAAGTGAAAGAGATGATGAAAGCCTGGGATGGTGTCAGCATCCTGAAGGAGCCAGTCTGGACGCTGAGGTGCCACCGGGCTGGGTTGCGGCTCCTGCTCCTCTGACCATGCTGTGTCTCTCTTCCAGATGCCCGTTGGCTGGAACACTCGCTAGCTGAAAGCTGAAGCGTGGTCACCAGCCTGTGCGGAGGAGAACAGGATGCGGGTCACCATGAGGAGGGTGTTGCTGGTGGTGGGCTCGGTGGTCGCCCTGATGGTGACTCTGCACCTTGGCCAGCAGGTCCTGGAGTGCCAGCAGGTCCTGAGCGAGAGGAGGCACAGGCTGATGAGACCTGAGAACGAGGAGCTGGTCATGATGGACTCCAACCACGTCGAGTACCGTTACAGCAAGGAGATGCCACTGATATTCATCGGCGGGGTCCCACGGAGCGGCACAACGCTGATGAGGGCCATGCTCGATGCCCACCCTGAGGTGCGCTGCGGAGAGGAGACCCGCATCATCCCCCGTGTGCTGGCGATGCGGCAGGCCTGGTCCAAATCGGGGCGAGAGAAGATGCGCTTGGACGAAGCGGGCGTGACGGACCAGGTTTTGGACGCCGCTATGCAGGCCTTCATACTGGAAGTGATTGCCAAGCACGGCGAGCCAGCCAGGTATTTGTGTAACAAGGATCCCTTCACGCTGAAGTCCTCTGTCTACCTGTCCAGGCTGTTCCCCAATTCCAAATTCCTCCTGATGGTTCGAGACGGCCGGGCTTCGGTCCACTCCATGATCACGCGGAAAGTGACGATCGCGGGCTTCGACCTGAACAGCTACCGAGACTGCCTGACCAAGTGGAACAAAGCCATCGAGGTGATGTACTCGCAGTGCTTGGAGATCGGGCGGTCCCGGTGCCTGCCCGTCTACTACGAGCAGCTGGTGCTGCACCCCGAGCAGTCCATGCACGCCATCATGAAGTTCCTGGACATCTCCTGGAGCGACACGGTGCTGCACCACGAGGAGCTGATAGGGAAGCCTGGCGGCGTGTCGCTTTCCAAGTGAGTGTCTCGGCTCCTGCCTCAGCTTTTCGAGGAGCGTTTTCTGTACACGAAGCAGGTCAAGGCTAAAACTGGGGGCAAAGACTCGTTGCTTGTGTTTATGCATGCCTTTTCAGGGGCAGAAGTGTCAGCATGTCCAGTTTTGCTGCAACAGGTTTTGTGTTTCTGAGTAGAAGATGGCTTGAATATTAGCAATCTGTTGTACTCAACAGAGCAGCTTGTCAGGCGAGGATTTTAGGAGCAGGTGGCTGCTTTATTCATCTGTCTTGACAGTGCAGAAATTATTTTGGTCTCTAATTTGAAAAGAACTGCTTGCTCTGAAACGTGAGCTCTTTAATGCTTCTTTTCTCCACCCATCCTCAAATACCTCTTTACCACGATGAGTTTTGCTGCTAATGAATGGCTTTCAGCAGTGAGTAGCAGTTCTTGCCAGGTTTGGTGCTGGTATTGCAGAATAAAAGAAATACCTGCTCTGTGGAGGCACACCCCAGCACTCCCTCCTTGCTGGCTGTCCATCCTGGGTGCCAGGGGTTGCTTGCCTTCTCCCACCTTCTTCTCCTCTTTTATTGCTCTTTATTTCCTAAATGGAGACTTAAGTCTAACTGAGCAAAATTTAATCAGTGGTGTAAGGGAACCATACAAGCAGGCTTTGTATGAATTGCTCATGCCCGAGTGGTGAGGGCAGATGTGGACAGGCAGCTGCTCCGTTTCTGTGACGGCCGGGGCTGTGCGGCCGGGCTCTGCTT